AGAGAGAAAGAAACATATTCCACTCCCAACAAATAGAGTTGACCAGATTAAATATAGAATAACCAATTTACAAAAAAATTTTTTTTAAATCCAGGCTCTCCCTGCATAGCCCAGGCTGGCAATCTTCCTGCCTCATCCTCTCGAGTACTCAAAGTTCAGGCATGTGTCACCACAGCTAGTGGTAGGCCAGTTCAATTTAACCTTCAAACAAACAAAACTATGTTCCTGTTTTTCCAAATACTATACAAGACATACTTCTAGCAAGAAAGTATCCCTTATTTACCAGAATTCAAATTAAACTGCTAAATCTAATGAGTCTACCAACAAAGAATATATAGTTGTGAATTCCAACAGGAATGAAACTTCAGGCTGCAAGGCAAAGATGGTGCTTCCTTATTTGCAGGGTAAAGGAAGTAGCTGGCTGCGTTTCCTTCCTTCTATTAAGTCTGACTTTGTACTCTTTGTATTCTACCCAAGTGGGTTGGCTAGATGGCTGAGTAACATCTTCAGGCTTATGCGGTTATCTCTAGCAAGTACAGGCAGTAAAACCTGAAAAAGCTCAACTACAGAAGCACTTGGTTCTATACAACTTGTGGGTCAGTTGTAGGTGTAGCTCATGGGTAGAGTGCAGGAGGGCTTCTGTGTGAGAGACCTGAGTGAGGACCCCAGCACTAGAACGCAACAGAACAAAAAAACTGAAGCCTATGAGTATCAAGCAAGGAGATCCTAGACTCTTCACCTGTGAGTTATACTTTTCAACAGAACCTGATGCATGGCAGCTATGGCAACAGAAATTCAGAGTCTGCACTTCGCCCTACTAACAAATGTCTGGAAGCTCAAGGTCACCACTTTGAGCACCTCATATATTTGTAGAGGCCGAAGGAAACTTGTATGAATCTCATGATGTTTCAATAAATTTAGTATTAAAATGTTTATACAAGTTTTTGTTTTCCTGATGTATACATTTTTTGGTAGACTCCATAGGTGAATTGCTTATGAACTTAATCCTATTGTGGCCATGGGTGGTGGGATCCTGAACGAGTATCTAGGTTTGTGTGTGCAGTGAACAAAGAACTGGACATGGCCTCTAGGTAAGGAAGAAGTGGGAGAGATCAGCTAGGTTAATGAGCCCATGGTGCACTTAGAGTGAGCTGGCTCCCCAGATGCAAAGGGGCACAGATAGGGTCCTGCAGGCCCGGACTCGGGACACTTCTTATTTATTTTATTTATTTATTTTTTTGCAGAACGGGATTGAACTCAGGTCCTTGCGCTTGCCAGGGAAGTGCTTATTCTAGTGAGCCATCTCCCCCAGCAGAGATCACTTCTTTTTTTTTTTTTTTTTTTTTTTTTTTTTTTATTTATTTATTTTGTGTGTGTGTGGCCAGTTCAGCCCACCAGGGGGCGGGCTGGCTGGCATGTAGTGCTGGGGGATTGAACCCTGGTCCCTGTGTTTTGCTTAGCTTAGCTTGTTCTAAGTAGGTGCTTTAGACCACTGAGCCATCTCACCAGCCCTGAGATCACTTCTTATTGGGTCTTTGACAATATGACTGACAGCATGATTGGTGGGACGCTAGTGACATCACGGTGTCTACTGTGCATTTCTTTCCCATGATTCCCTCTGTTACTATGAGATGTGTAAAATGTAGTCTACACTCAAATCTTCAAGGAGCTCCAGAAGAAGAAAGGTTAGGGAGAGGCAGGCGCC